ACCCATCTGCCTTCCAAAATTTACCTCGGAACTTTATCAGTTAAAACTCCCTCGCCGAATAAGTTAAGCGAGCGGAGGCCGGGGCCGAATTTTCGGAGCCCACATGCTGCTAATGACCTTTCACCTAAAAGCCAAAAGACGGGCATGGACATGCTTGTTGGCTAAGTTGAACCTTCCAATCTTCTCCGATATGACAAGTCATAGTGATGTAAACCAAATAATACCTCCAAGCAGTCCAAGAAGCTTATAATTAGACCTCTGATAATAGCCTAGAAGGGAGTCCACTCAAAATCCATGATTCATAGTTTCATACCAAGATGATGGATTTAATAATAAAAAAAAAAAACTAACATCCATATTTAATCTCCAATGACTGGTTTAATAATTGCACAATCATAATCGAAGGGGAATCATTTCTACCATAAAAATGCCTTAGGATTCTAAGACAAATTATCCAGAATTCTTCTCCTGATGATGGACATACAACAACAACAAGCCTTTATCCCACTACATGGGATTGACTATATGAATCATTTCTCACCATTATGTTATGTTAAAAGTCAAATTCTCATTTAAATCTAATAAAGAAAGATCATTTCTAATATTTTCTAACAAAGTCTTTTTAGGTCTACCTCTACCTTTCTTAGTATAAGTTGAATCTAAAGCATCTACTCTCCTAATCAGGTCATCGGAAGGCGTCATTTTATGTGACCAAACCATCTAAGGTGAATCTCTCTAATCTTATCTTCCACTGGAGCTACTCCAACCTTTTCACGTATATGCTCGTTTCGTATCCTATCTCAAAAAGTAAAGCCACTCATCTACCTCCATATTATCTCTATACTTCTACATCAAACCTCTAAATAAATGTATAGCTTCCATAGTAGACCTACTCGGCATGAATCCAAATTGATTTTGAGAAATATTAGTATCACATTGTAGCCTATGCTCTATAACTGTCTCCCATAGTTTTAAAGTATGACACATTAAATTAATTCCTATATAATTCACACAATCTTGTGCATCACCTTTATTATTGAAAATAGGAATCAACACACTCATTATCCACTCATCTGACATCTTTTGTCTTCGAAAAAATATTATAAAGTTTAGTAAGCCAAAAAATTCCTTCATCTTCTAAGCATTTCCACACCTCTATTGGAATATCGTCAAGTCCAACTGCTTCTCCATGCTTCATTTTCTTTAAAGCCTCTTTAACTTCGGTTTCACCATGAGTCATAAGGTTCATTTGATAATGCATAAAACTATTTATTAGATAAGGTAAACTTCAAAATAAAGTATCTCTTTGTGAGCGAACACCCTTTGAAGTAGAATTCTCTGATTGGTGCTTGAACACCGCCGTGTGCATTAGCTATCCTTTCCCTTGACCTACGCAAATACATCTAATAGACAGTATCCAAAGTCATACATGTATGAAATAAAATGAAGACTAAATGAACCAATGCATGGTCCCAAGAAGAGAACAAATGAAGGGTTTTCCATACCGTGCATTCTCTTTACAAATCGTTCAAATTCTGAGAAGTTGCATCCCTCCATTAGGACGGGACTGAGCCTGAGGTAAGTGAATGATGACAGGTGTCTTCCATCTGGATCGTCCAGTGGCTTGGCATTTTCTAAAATTTTGTTATAACTATCCCTATCATAGCAAGGGAAAGAATTCACACTTGCTACAGGTATAGAAACATCCCAAGCAGCATTCAATACCTGAAGATGAAATTTTAATTTTATCAAAAAGCTGAGAACTTCCATTTGAAGCATCATATCCACATTAAATAAGCACTGATAAATATTGATATTCTGCCCGATTGCTTTTTTGTGTTTGAAAGGAATGCAAATAGCCAACATATTACCAGCAACAAGAAATAGTTACCTTAAAAAAACAATCTTATACAATTATATTACCTGCCAGATCAAGCCTTCCGGATCTGCCAATGCTTCTGAGAACCCCGCTTGCTGATTCGAGGTACGCAGTTCAGAGCATAAGTTCAAAGTAACGAAATGTCGCTTTAACATTGACGCAATTGATGCATAACCGTCACGGTTGCAGGGGTTATAAAAACCAGCAGTCAATTCTGCAGCATGGCTAGCTGTCTTGTACCACCAGTAAACGCCAGATATCTGTTTCAAAATGGCATATGAAATCAGAATCACTAATCTAAACTACAGATTATTAAGCATCAAAAGCCAGCGCACAAGCAATCTCAACCATCAACACAAGGTGTTTAGCGTAAACCATAGAAAAAGAAAATTTTAATGTCCAATTATTATATAACGGGGTATTATCTTGTAGAACCATATTGTTTTACCCAATATTTCAGTTTTAGTAGGTTAAATATTATCATTCATTTGATCTTTTTGTTAATCATAAGCATCTATGAACAAATTCAATTATTTACTTACTATGGCTTTTTATTTCTTTCATCACATAATCGCAACCTACAAATTCGACAATGTTAGTTAGTGTTTTTTTTTTTTTTTTTTTTTTTTTTTTTTTTGAACATTTACATTATGCATTATAGAGAAAAAAAATGTACAACTAAAAGGACAAACAAAAAGGCCCTAAGAATGACTATGCAAACTCAAATAATTCCTAAGGATATCAAAAAATCCTAAGGAATGCATTGAGAAATTAAATCAGAAAAGTACCAAACAAAATTACAATCAATTTCCCTTTGGGCATAGAAATGAGCTGCACAATTGAACCTCCTATGCACATGATGGAAATGGACATTGTGAAAAAGATTTAACCAGCTAAATTGATCTCCAAACTGAGGCCGGTCACTCTAGCTCTTCGAGTTTTTGTTTATCACTTTACCTATTTCCCCTTTAAAAATAACAATATTATTCCTTAAAAAATCAGCATAAATAAAAAATGTTCTCAAAAACACCATCCAAGAAAATTAAAAAAATGAGAAAATGATTAAATTGGTCCCCTAACTTTTTTTAAGGATCAAAATAATTCACTACTATATAAAAGTATCAGTTTGGGCTTTAACTTTTTAAATGGGGATCAAATTAGTCTTTTTATGGAATCATTGAGGTCCCTATTTAAGAAGTCAAGGGACAAAAAATGGGAATTTTGAATAGTCAGGGACTATTTTAGTCATTCGGTAAAAGCTGAGAGACCATTTTGATCCTTATCTTGCTAAAAAATATTAAACATGACTTATTTAAAGAAAAAATATTAATATATTATTAACGAATTATAGTATTACCATCCAAAAGAAACTTCAAGTCAATGCAAAATTTCTCATAAAAAACAAATTACTGATGTAGCAGCATTGGAAGGAAGATTCGCGTGACAGTAAGGAGAGGACAGGCTTGCAGACAGCCAACAAGTGACCTGCATGTTTGGGAAAGCTGGACCAAGCTGGCGGGCGCTGCTATGAGGGCTGCAGCCTGGTGAGTAGCAAGTAAAGCAGCTGTTGGCGGTTGACTGTCAAGCCGGTGTTCCCAAGAGGGCATCTGCAAATTGTTGTTGAAGACAAGTTGGCAGCTGGCGGACTGCTATGGGGGCTTGAATATGATAGTAACATAGTAGCAGTAACTTTAGCGTTTACACTTTGAATTTATAGGTTTTTTTTTTAATTTGAAATTTAGCATCGTATATTTAAAGCGGGTGATGGGGGAATAATGATAGGCCCGATCAAGATCACATAGTTCCATCGCCCCAAACCTTCATTGTCCCTAGTATACTTAGACAAAGGAGATAATTGACCCAACTTAACCTAAGAATCATTATCAGCCGTCACGAATTGCTTCGTCTAAGAGTACCTTTTAGATTTGGGGCGAATATTTTCTTAAGGGGACTATAACTCATTACACGAGGGCATTAGCCATTGGAGGCATATGGGATTTAGTCATGACCGTAATATAGTGGAGCCATTGAGCCAAAGAAACCGATCAAAGAGCCTCACTCATAATCATTCACCAGGTGAAACCGTTGGGCCATACCACTAACTCTGTAGAGCCATTGATCCAAAGCGCCAATAAGAGGACCTTGAAATAACGATTTACCACGTGGTGCCATTTGGCCAAGCCACGGTTCTTGTGCAGTGGTTGGGTCAAACCGCCGATTAGAAATTATTTGTCACATCATTACTGATAAGAGATTATTTGAGAATGAATCTTAATGATATTCTTGACTAGACATTTATTTTTTGTGAGCTGAAGTTATTCTCAAATTTATCATTATTGATAAACTATTACGGAAGGGGTGGATTTTTGCTTTTAAGTTTTTAAATGATTTAACTTTATTTTAAACATTTAAACTTTGATATATATCATATTTAGAATTTTATTAAAATTTAAACCCCTATGATTAATCTTGGGATTTGAAGGCATTTGAAAATGTAGGATCCCTTCCAATTAAGATTAATTTTCAACACGATCATCATTGGAGTTTTGTGGATAATTTCATTTCATTATTTGAACCTTGTCAACACTTTGTTTTTCAATAAAGATGGGGTTTGGCTACTAACATTCAAGGTTGTCGCATGGTTATCATAACTGAGAGTTGATATTATAACAAATAAATTCTTTTTGTAAGAGACCTTGAAGGTCTAATGTGAACTAAGATTTAAAATTGCACAATTAGGTATTGAGGTGTTTTTCATTTGTGAGGCGAGGCATAAGCCTCAAAATTTAAAAGTTACGTAAATTAAAAATAAATGTTAAAAAAGATTTATATATAATACTTAAATAATATAATAAACGATGAAATATTAACTTTTTATTAACTATAAAGTAACAAATTAACATACATATGAAGAAAGACAGCACAAGACGTAAATGACAAGTGATAAATTGCATAAAATAAAATTAAAATCCAAATATTATAAGAGCTAAATAACATAAAATATAGGAAATGTATAAAAGTATCATACATTATCAAGTTTAACTCTAAATTCCTTCTTTCCCATTTTCATACTCATCCAAATTTAATTCCAAAAGAAAGTTAAAATAGTTGGGAACTCAGAAATCATCTAGACAGTTATCACCAAGGTCTTTATTTGTCTCGTCATCATAACAAATTGATCTCTTCCTTGCCTCATTTTGTAGAGTCAAATGCCTCTAAATCTACTTCTTCATTTATTTTAGTTATTTTCATCTATCATAAATGTTTGTCATTAATACAAAGATAAGAGTAATACTCTAAAATTTTTAGAGGAGGTAATGATGTTGTGCTGCTTCCAAGTTATCCCTGGCGGTGACTATGATGGTGGTGGCTGCAGTGAAGGCAACAGGTTGAAGATTGGGACAATCAACATGAAGTTATTGCTACTCATGAGCGTATAAATGAGTGAATTTTTCGAGGCTATAAGTTTTCATAAAAAATATATATAAATAGGATGAAGCGTACGCTTAATGCCAGCAAGACGAGATACGCCTCAGTCAAATTAAGTCGCATGTCTCATAAAAAAAGCTCAATGAATAAGCCTCGAGGTGTTTTTTACCGGAATTGTACTGAGATGAGCCTCATATTGTGCAATTTTAAACAATGATGTGAACATGTAAATTAAATATTTTTGTGGATTTAACGAGCATTGATTTTAAGAGTTTTTATTTTTGATAGTGGATTTTTCTTATAAGAGGCCTTGAACAACTAATGTTATAAAATCAAATATTTTCATGGATTCAACGAGAGTCAGTTCTAAGAGTTTGATATGCTTAAAATTTATTCATCATTTTCCAATCTGCCCAATATTCTTAGGCATCACACTTACATATTTCTAGCGTTCATTGAAGCTCATGCGGATATTATTTTAAAGGGGATTTTGGAAATTTGAAAATTAATAATGTAGTTGTATAGCATTTATATGCCTCTTGATATGTATGTCTTGTGCATTGCATATTCATTGATGTACTTGCATGTTTATATGGTGTCCATGTATGGTGCATTTGTATATTTCATGGTAGGTGTACATGCACATGATGCACTTGCATATGGCATGGTGCACGTGCATGATACCCTTGCATATTTCATTGTGTGCTCATGCAATATACTTGCATGTTCCATAGTATGCTTATACGACGCACGTGCACGAATCTCGATGCATTTGCACTTTTGCCTGATTGTTGATACATTTACAAAGTGTATTTGTATGATCGATGGTATGAATACACGCTACTTAGTGCACTTGTATAGTGTATTTATATGTCGTTGGTACATTTGCACTATACAATAAGGACTAAGGAGATGTGTAAGAGATATTTCTTTTGGTGATTAAGCGCGTCTTGTGCTTTTCATTGAGAGAGTCATGTAGCCCTTGACACAAGAAGATACTATTTTGTTTCTTTTTAGGGGTAAGCGTCTTCGGGTTGTACGACATACTCACGGGATGTACAAATCCAGTCACTCTAGTAGCTAGCGAGTGCGCTACCTAGGGCACCCGTATACTTGGCATTTTTGTCGGGTCAATTTAATCATTTTATTAGAAGACATTTATGTGAAATGGCCATTGGGGTTTAGGAAATCTGATGTGGAGGTCAGTCACGTGAATGCATTGGCACGGGATTTTGTACATAATTTTAAATAACTTTTTTTAGATTTATCACCGATCATATTTAGGTGCATTAGTGTTCGTATTTTCATGCATTTGCATGTGCATGGGAGAATCTAGCATAGCTGCCTCGAAATGGCATCATAGCACACTTTTCACATGTCCATGTCATAGCAGCATCTTGGCATGTCTTTCACATGTGTACCATCCTTGACATTTTATGTTTAGAGTTTAGCCCGACGAGCACCACAAAGGAATCAATTTTAGGCTATAAGTAAGGAGTCTTGAGTGGTTCATTTTCATGCACATTTTAGTTTATAGAATGGGCTCTTGAGGGACTTGGGTATGCATGAGTTTACTATGAGCAAAGGGGGTTCTAATTCATGGTTCTTGGCAAGTGCTAAGTTTGCTACAGGCTTTTTGTAAGTTCAATTTTATTTCATTTTTCTATTTTTGTTCACTGCAATTTACTTTCATTTATATAGTTCGTTGTTTAAGCCCTATTCTGGTCTCATGTTGGTCTAAACTTTGACAGCATCCTGACATCGACCCACATAGAAGGCTACATAAGGTGTGCTAGGCCTTTCCATCAATCCAAGAAAGGAGTGCATTATT